TCAGATATTACGGCACCTCATCCCCACAAAATGCCTCGTCTACCTGGACGATATTATTGTATTCCGGCAGACAATCGACCAACACAACCATAATCTAAAGGAGGTTTTGGAGGCACTCCGCGATGCCGGTTTGACGCTAAACCCCCATAAATGCGTCTTCTTACGTTCGGAGATACAATTTCTGGGCCACAAGATATCACCCGGCCACATAGCTGCCCTCCCTGACCGGCTGCAACAAATCCGAACATGGCCAACCCCGATAAACCAGTCGCAACTCCGTAGTTTCCTTGAACCAGCTTCTAACTACAGACGTTTTATTCGGAACTTTGCCCGGATAGCCGGTCCTCTACATAAACCTACGGAAAAAAGGCCGAGAATTCAAGTGGTCTCCCGACTGCGAGGAAGCTTTTACTAACTTTAGAGCCGCCCTCTGCGCAGCCCTACTCTTAGTCCTCACTGCTCTCGATCCCAACGCACTCCCTTTTATCCTCGACAGCGACGCTAGCGGATTCGCCATGGGGGCAGTCCTGTCTCAAGCGGATTATAACGCGATCGAACACCCGATATGCTTCGCGAGCAACACATTCACCAAACTCCGACGGAACTGTTGTACCTTCCGCAGAGAACTTTTAGCCATCATAACATTCATTCGTCGGTTTAAACACCTACGTATCGGTCGCCATTTTATCCTCCGCACTGACCATCGAGCGCTCCAATGGTTACAATCTACTAAAGACCCCATGGACCAACTCGCCTGGTAGCAGGAATTCCTACAAGATTTCGACCGTCCGGGCCAAAAACATGGAAACGCTGACGCTTTCCCGACACGTCACCACCAGATCTAGACAGCAACACTGCGTCAGTCAATGTGATCACGATGTCCGAACCCACCCGTCACGCTTGGTCGTCGGCCCAACAGACTGACCCCGACACAGCCATCATTTATAGCCACCTGTTACAGCACATCAATTAACCCACTGATGTAGACATGAAAGGAGCCAGTCAAAACGCACGCCTCCTCTTACATCGGTAGCCCCACCTTCGATATCCTGTTATTCCGCGACCCCTCATCAAAACAACTCCGCCCAGTGGTGTCGAGATGTTTGATTGACACCGTGCTGTCACGATACGTAGCGCATACAACTCGCCACGTGGGACAATCGATCCAGCACTTTCACATCAAAAACACAATGTGATCGCCACTCGGTCGGCACACCACAGCAAATTGGCGACTTAGTTATGCACTACAACCCCATACTACGATGAGGACTTTCAACTAAACTCCACTACCCCTAGCAAGGTCCGTTCGTCATCTTTGATGCTCTGTCACCTTCAAACTACCTCCTCCGCGATGCCTTACAATCCCACTCTCCCACATTTACAATAAACTGGCAAACTCAAACCCTACCGCGGTCGCTTACCCCTTTGCACATCAGACTCCCTACTCATCCTCCCAAACCATCAAGTTCCCCCCTCCCCCGCAGCCGTCGAGGTCGCCATCCCTTCATCCGTCGACCATAGCAGCATTGAGGACAGTGTTGCAACCTAAGAGGGGATTACGTTACAGCCCAAATAGAGCATAGGGTTCCGACTTTGACTACTCATCTTGTAGAGAATTCCGGACCGCAGATAAATATAAGGCATTTAAACTGATCTTCAGTGAGAGAACCGAGTTGGAAACGCCCACACTCACGGTTGACAATGCCCGCATACGTGATAAAATCCTTGGAATCTCGTTTGCTCAGTTGCAGGCACTGAAATCGAGTGTAGAAAAGGGCTGATTGCTCACCAAAAATCTGCGACAACGTCTGAACCGTGTCCTTGAAAGTGACTTCTCGGGGATTCTTGGGGAGGATTGAGTTCGCATAACGCTCGTGTTCAGCCGGACCCAGTTTGCGAAGTAGGAGTCGAACCTTCCATGCATCGTCCTGGGCAGCCAGATTGACAGCTAACAAGTCCTCGTATCGTTTGTATCAGGAATAAAAGGTGATATGGGCCTGAGGGTCATACAAGAATTCAGTGATGCTGCCGGCAATGTGATCAACAGATTGCGAACCACCAGCCGCGCATGATTGACCCCTGGACGAGTTGGACAGCTTAACGGTGAGTGCCTCCATCAGCTTCAACTGCTGCGCAACATCTGCTTCAAGTCGGCGTACTCGTCAGCCATTGTAGTTGAAAAAACTGCGTCGCCAATTTGCTATGACCCGCCTGGTACTTGAAATCCCGTGGAGGGTATACGCACTCAACCCTGGTACCCAATACCAAAGCAGCAAAGAAAACACGGCTGGCCACGGAAAGTGTATTAGAAAAACACTGCAAGTCGCGATTAGCTAAAGGTGACGCATATTTATAACGCCCTACTGTGGTTCGCCGGCATTCGGCCCAATGACCTTCGGGAAGAGGGGAGTAGCCAATGGAAAAGCGCCTGATTGAGATGACAGCGCTGTAGAGAGAGCAAACGCACGTGATCTCCAGTGATTGGTTGGTTCTTGTTTTGGGTGTAGGCGCTCCCAACACAAGGTCGACGCTTGGACCCAACCAAACTCACTGACCTTCATACATGATAAGTCTCATCTACGCTTGTTTTATGTTCGTTCTCTCGTTTATCGTTGCTACATTTGTTTTCCACCGTCCGTGTTTTCTCGGGTTAACCCTGTAATCTTGTGCATGTACATACTTTTCCATCAATACCTCTTTTTGTTAGTTCCTGAGATCAACTCTATTTCTTTGCTTCTGACGTTCATACGCGTCTACATACTGTTATTGCAAACTTCCTCATCGGAATCCGCCTATACTATTCACACTTAACGCTCAATTTTGATGCAACTGAGACTAGATGTGAGGAATGTTAGATGCTCCGAGATTAGAACATCAAACTAACTCTCGGGTTGTAATGAACCAACTGTCCCCCAACAGATAACAATTCTCCGTCTCCTACTGATCCTTTCTAAACGGACATTACAATGGCGGCAGACGGTAAGAGTACCAGCCTTCCGTCCCACTCCGTCTCTTTCCCCCGCCAAGATTCAACCCACGTGACAAAGGTCCTCAACTCCTACGGCCCCAACCCTTCACTAGCACCTGATATGTATGAAACAGAGGAATGCATCCGTGAATGGTTACGTGACCTCTTTATTTTACTCCTAAGTGTACCACCAAGTGAGTATACTTGTTACCTTTTGTGGTTTTTATCATCCCCAGCACGCCGACGTGCTTTTGACGCAGGAATTAAACCCACATCGGACTCCAAACGAGCTACAGAGATACTCATTCAACTGTTTGACCATCCAGACGCCCCAGGAGTAGCCAACCAGCGTTTTGTCCACCCTTCGTCAACACCCCAGACAGTCCGCCTGGCAGCCATAGCTTACCCCAACTTGCCGGAGACAGACCGCGACTGTTTAATCCCCCTCCCACTGGTACTTACTTGTACTTGTACTTGATAAGTCTACGACCATGTCTGAGACGATTGAGATGTTCGTGAAGTGACCCTTCAGTAGCACGCAGGCCATCCGGTCATTGACTGGTTCCCAAGCAAGTAGCGCGAGGTCCGCTTGTTGCGATGGGGCGATCGCCACACCGTGTCGACCAGAGTCGCGCGGGCCGCTGTGGTACAGGGTAAAGTGTGATTCGACTCCAGGGATCTTTGATTCACGGGAGCCTGAATCAGGGAGTCGAACTTCAGACAGACGGCAGACATCCACGTTGTACTGATCAAGGCTGTGTGCGGTCAGACTTTGGGTACCGGGGTCCAGGAACGTACGCATATTCCAGCATCCAATACCGAGAGTCCGTCCCCGATTGAGTAGTCCAGCTCGCATACTATTTGCCCGCACCATTGGACCAGGGTTGCGGAGCGCGTCGGTTTCCGCGGACGCCATAGCATGCGTCGTAATACTGTGTTCGGACATATTTCATGAGGTTTCTTGGGAAATTCGAATACGGGCGGGTCCCCAACAGCCGCTCGTAAAAACGTTTCAAGTTTATTGACTTAATAATGGTAGTCGATCCAGGGTACTCCAGACATTGGGCAGAAATTCTACCTCGGGCCGGGGTCGAACCTGGGCACAAGAGTGGCGCTGAAATTGTCGCTACCACTGCACCATCAATTTATCACTGGCCTACAGGACCGCACCGCCAGCAATATCCACTTGCTAAACCCCCAGCAAGCCTGTCGTCTGCCCTTCAACAATTTCGGCCGTATGAGGAGTGCTACCCGAGAGCGATGGGGCCCCCACGCCCGGCCTCACCCCTGCTCGATCTCTTGACAGGATATCGCCCCCCGAGAAATGACCCTGACGCTGATGCCCAACTGCTGGAGGAGCTCAGATTATTTTCAACGCGGCCGACTACTCTCATCGTTGGAGATTTTAATGCACCTCACATAAACTGGAGCTCGGCCTCAGCCGACTGCTCTGAAGCATTTGACCAGCAGCTACTGTGTACCTCTCACAACCTGCTTCTCACCCAACACGTAATGTTTCCAACGAGAGTTCAAGACTGCCAACAAATGAACTGTCTCGATCTTGTGTTCGCCAAGTCCTCTGACAACATCGACGTTGTGAATTGCCTCCCCCCGTTGGGTCAGAGTGACCATGTAGTGGGAATAAACCTTATTCCCCCTGCCTGCACGACCGCTCCATTGCCGACCCAATATTTGGCGCGGCGATTTCGAACAGATGAAAAACGTTCGTTCTATCGACTGGGCATCCACTCTCTCCGGCGAAATCGAAGAGGTTTGTTGTCAGTTCAAAGAGTTATTCTACAACCTCATCTCCAACCACTACCCTATCATGCGCAGAAGACTAACAAATAGACCTCACTGGTTGACTCCGTCCTTAAAGAAGGAAGTTAACAAGAAGAGGAAGCTATCGAAAATATCTCTGACGGACCGGACGCCAGAATCCCTAAGCAGTTATAAGTTACAGAGAAATCTGGTCACAATTCTCATCGCCAGAGATCGGAAGGCTTTTGAAAAAAATATTTTGGACCGTGCCATGATTAATCCCAAAATCCTTTACAGCTACATAAGACAGAGCACACGGAACAAAGATCCCCTCCCACTGCTGCGAACGGCTGAGGGTGTGGAAATCTCAGATGCCAAGGATAAGGCTGAACATCTCTCTCAGTTCTTTCGGTCAGTCGTGACATGTGAACCTGATTTTTTCTCACCCGCTTATGAAGACGAAGAAACGCCTACCCCCGAAGCCGTCTTCTTCACCGAAACAATTGTTCGGGATGAGTTAAGAAACCTAAAAGAATCGACTTCCCCAGGCCCTGATGCAATCCCGGACAAGCTGCTGAAGCAGCTGGCTCCCGAAATGTCCAAGCCACCAGCCTTGATCTTCCAAACGTCATTTGTTACTGGATGCCTGCCCTCTGACTGGAAGTCCGCTACCATCACTCCACTTTTTAAGGGTGGAAGTCGTGCGTCTGCAAATAACTACAGGTCAGTGAGTCTTACCTCCATCTGTTGCAAAATCATGGAGAAGATCAGTAAGAAGGCCTTGATGCAGTTCCTCGAGCAACACCACCTCCTCTCCGATGCCCAACACGGCTTTCGAAGTGATAGATCCTGCCTCACGAATCTGCTCTTCACGCTCGAACGCTGGACCAAAGCATGCAACGAAGGCAATGTGATGAACGCAATCTACATCGAAGTCAAAAAGACTTTCGACAGCGTTCCTCACCAAAGTCTCTTGTACAAACTGCGCAACGCTGGAATTCGTGGGCGCCTTCTTGTATGGATCCAGGGCTTTTTGGCTGGACGGTCCCAAAGAGTGCAGGTTGGGCGTCAAGAGTCCTCAGATGTAAGCGTGGTGAGTGGCGTCCCACAGGGCTCAGTCTTAGGTCCCACGTTATTCCTCGTTTTCATAAATGACTGCGTCAATACCTGGACTGTGATGTCATCCTGTTTGCCGACGACATGAAATTGTGGAAAGTTATTCACAACGCGGTAGACGCAGACCACCTACAAGTAAACTTGAACAGGCTCGAAGACTGGTCGAAGTGCTGGCTTATGCCCTTCAATATAAGGAAGTGCAACTTTCCCCAACTCGGCAGCTTCAATCTCCACACCCAGGACTTACTTTCCACACGGCACACCATTGCAACAGGTTGGTAGTCAGAAGGACCTGGATGTATGGATTACATCTTCACTAAAACCAATACTGCACTGCGCGAAGGTGGCTAAATCGGCAACGGTCACATTGCAACTCATTAGGCGAGCATTTGTGGGATTTGACCCTGACTGCTTTTCCAAAATATTTGGCTCCTTCGTGCGACCTCATCTAGAATACGCAATACAGGCGTGGAAACCTTGGACTACCAAGGATTATATGGTCTTGGAGAAGGTTCAGAGACGGGCGACCAAAATGAGGCAAGGTCTGGGAGCACTGCCCTATGAAACCAGACTGGCAACTCTCAACCTGTTTCCCCTTTTTTACAGGCGATTACCTGGTGACCTTATACTAACATTCCGCATTATCAACGGCCTGGACTGCTGTTCAGATCCCACTGATTATTTTACTTAAGCTAACACGCCCACTTTGCGCGGTCATCCCCTGAAACTACGCGCAGGGAAAGCAAGGATCAATGGAAGAAAGTTCTTTTGCCGTAACAGAGTGGTTGCAGCGTGGAATGCCCTCCCCACCGATATTGTAATCTCCTCCTGTGTGAATTCCTTCAAGTGTAGACTGGACGCGTATCAAGCTTCCCAATTGCCAGCCTCACATTCATTCACATAACCCGGCACTAATTTGTACGTTTATACTAATTGTATAATAATAAAATGTATCCGTCAGGCACGGAAGGAGTATGAATCCAAAATTATACGACAGGCTGAACAGAAACCTAAGATTTTATTTCACTATCTTAACAGTAGACTGAAAAATAAGGACCCGGTCGCGGTGCTGAAGGATGGTAATGGTGTAGAGATCACTGAGAACAGCGAGAAAGCCGAACACTTAGGACAGTATTTTGCCTCGGTTTTTACTAGAGAAACAGAGTTTCGCAGTCGCAGTGCTCACAATGCTGTGGAGACTGCTGATCGCGTGCTTGACTCCATACTGCTCCCGACAGCTGTCGTGGAAAGGGAGCTGAAAAATCTCAAGGAAGCAAAGTCCTCGGGTCCGGACAATATACCGGTCAAATTATTGAAGGAACTGGCGAATGAACTCTCCAGACCACTGGCGCACATCTTCCGCTCGTCATTCGAATTAGGGAGGCTGCCATCGGAATGGAAGACAGCAAATATCTTTCCGATATACAAGGGCGGGGCTCGCACTAATGCTAACAATTACCGGCCTGTTAGTCTAACCTGTATCTGCTGTAAAATAATGGAGGCCATAGATAAGAAAGCAACAATTGAGTTCCTGGAGCAGGGCCATTTAATCTCAGACCTGCAGCACGGCTTTAGACAGAACCGCTCGTGTCTTTCCAATTTATTGCTCTCGACGGAGCAGTGGACTCGCGCACTGGACGAGGATGGTAGGGTCGATATCATCTACACAGACTTTAAGAAGGCGTTCGAAAGCGTCCCACTCAAACGTCTAATCTACAAACTTTCTGCAATTGGGATAAGAGGAAGGCTGCTGACATGGATAATAGATTTTCTTACCGGGAGATCGCAAACCGTGTGCATTGAGGCCTCAAGGTCAACTCCTACTCCCGTTCTAAGTGGTGTACCCCAGGACTCCGTCTTAGGGCCGTTGCTATTCCTGGTTTACATTAACGACTGCGTTGACGACCTGGGATGCAACGCCATCATGTTTGCTGACAATGTTAAGCTGTGGAGACCCATCAGATCTGACGCAGACAGGTACGCGCTTCAAGACAGTTTCAACTGCCTGAACAGTTGGTCAGCTCGCTGGCTCCTTAATTTTAATGTTGACAAATGTGTGGTCCTGAGACTCCGCACCAGACGGACCAGTAAGGAGCACGATTCCTTTCAATACGCCCTTGGTGGTCAGCCCCTTTCAAATGTTGTGGAACAGAAAGACCTGGGCGTCCTAATGACCTCCTCGCTGAAACCATCATCACAGTGTCAAAGGGCAGCCAAAAGTGCGATAAGGGTGTTATTTGCGCTGAGGCGAGGATTTGTGCAGATCGATAAACAGCTGTTTGGAAAAACCTATGGGACATTCGTCCGGTCTCACTTAGAGTATGCAGTCCAGGCCTGGCGACCGTGGTTGAAGAAAGATTATCAACGACTGGAAAGAGTACAGGCGACGGCTACGAAGATGGTCAAGAATCTTCATCATTTGCCTTACGAAACCAGGTTGACCGAACTAAATCTGTTTCCTCTAAATTACAGGCAACTGCGCGGCGATCTCATTCAAACCTACAGGATTGTCAGAAGCCGTGAGTGTGCCCTAGACTTTGATGAATTCTTCGAATTCACCGGGACTGACCGTCTGCGTGGTCATCCCTTCAAACTGCAAAGGAAGCGGGCTCATTCGGACGTCCGACGGAACGCCTTCTCTCACAGGGCCATCGGGGCATGGAATGGACTCCCTGATGCCGTCGTTCTTTCCGAAAGTGTCAAATCCTTTAAGTGCAGACTAGACGCTCATTTGTTGAGAACCTACTGTACATATAATAATGATTGTTTTAGCGGCGGCAGTTTGCGCCTAGCTCATACTTACCGCTAACTTTTTAACTTTTCGCATTTGCTGATGTAATTGATGACTTTATTTCTGTTTATCGATATGAATAGGGAGCTCAAGGGCGAAAGCCTCAGTCCCTTAATAAACTGACTTAAACTGACTTAATTAGTAAGTAACCGTTAATTATTATTCCTTTTCGCCTAGCTGGTAGCTTTCTGCGATTATGTACAAAATCCCTTTTTCACCTTCCTACTTATCAATGTTTTTCTCCGACGACTTGTAACCAATAGCGAGTCCAAAGGCGCTCGCCTATATTTCCCTTAATAAACTGAAACTGACACGGAGGCCAACGTATCTCTCGTGAATCCTTCTATACTATCCCGCAAAATCTATGACCAGAAAAAGCCTATAAGCTATCCCCGTAAACTCCGTGCGGCGAACGGCACCGCGATACTTATCACAGGTCCGTTAACTCTTCAATTGGTCCTCGAGGGCACAACCGTTACGTACCAATGCCTTGTAACACCTTATAGCCCCATGGAACCCTGTCCTAGGGCTAGATTTTCTAGCAAGTCATAATTGCACAGCCATGTGGCTCGGTGACATCACGCTGTGGCTGTGAATAACAGAATCCCGATTTGCCTTGAGGCAGATTACAAGGAGACAAAATCCCATTACGTCGTGGATGCACTATCAGTGACCTTTGGGATATTATAGACAGTTGTCCACAGCCACCCCTTACAGTGCTCTAAAGGAGGATCTGTTACAAATTCGTGGCAGTAGGTGGGATTCGAAATGGCCGAGGAAACACTGCAGCAGCTAATGAAAGCGATGTAACGGGTATCCTCGTCCGGCGATCGTCCACCCAAGCCGGATAAGTTGACTATTTACGACGACCTTGATCTCTAGAAGGATCACATGAAAATCTTGGAGGCGCGACTGGCCGCCATCCTGTGCGGCTTAGACAACGAGGTCTGTGTTGAGGTGCCTGGCTAATTGACCTTTAACAGTCTGGCCACTTTTCTTTAACTGTGCTGTGTTTTTAACGCAAACAAAGAACAACGCCGGGGGGAAATACGCACATCACACATGCGGTTGGAGATGAGGTCATTCGGTTCTTGAATACCAGTTTCATTTCACCTACTGGCTTTTCTTACTGCCGTTCTTAATCAGGCTGATGCAAATGGTCAAGATCCGTAAAACATAGGTAGCTTGTCGCTAGGGCAACATTCGCAAAAGATCTACGCCATGGCCAGGGTGAAAAACGTGATCGCCTCGTCCACTCGCGCGACAATTTGCGAGCGGGTTCAGAGGAAGTCAGGTCGCTCTTCAATGCCATGGGTTGCTCATGTAGCTGTAAAAGGACGTCAACACCACGCGTCCGGCTTTCTGCCAAACGACCTCCCATCGTTCTCTTCCGCCCGACTTTCTGTTTATTCTACTTATTTCAGCTTCTAACGCCTATATGTTCTCCCTTTGCCGTTAGCATCTCGTCTGCCTTTTTGCACTGCGGTTCGGTAGGTGAGTTTAGAAAGGGCGTGATACAAATTGGCGAAGCCTAATGAATTCAAGGTTCACGTACGAGGGGGTTCCCAGAAAAACGAGAATTATATTCTGTAGGAAAGTGAGTTGGCAGTTCGGCCCCCCTCCCCCTCTGCCTCGGCTATGGGTATCGAACCCATTGGCGACCCCTTTACCTGCTCGTAGATCGTTCCATCGAACGTAAAGTAGGCCCTGAGAGAGAGAACTTCAGGAGCTGATGGACTTGGGCGTGTCTGAGGCGATTCGCCGTTCCATCTTATTTGTATTTGGCAAGAGACTTACCCCTTTAAGCTTCTCCATGAACTGGGTTGACAGATAGACCGTGGTGTCCGAATTGGTGGTCAAAAATGTGAGACGCCAAAACGGCCACTCTGGCAGCCCGTGCGTAGGATTGCCTTTGAGCGATACAGTGGGCCGGAGAGGAGCGCCCTCCTTGCGCACCTTGGTGGGCTATAGAACCGGGCCAAGGCCGTTTCTCGGACTTTCGCCACGCGTCGGTCGGTCGGCGTTATTGCAGCCGGAGTCGCATTAATATCGCGTGCGCCATTTCCTGTCAAAAATATGACCAGGGAAACAGATTATTTGATAGTTGGGACAAGACACGCCTCTTATTCGATTTATTCAGGTTCGTCTATACAGAGGAGCCTGTTTCTGACGAATGATTACACTTTCCAAATTACCATATCTTGCAATGCAGTCAGTACGGTGGCCTTCACAACATGTAGAGTAAGGAAATCTTTGGGTCAGCTAACGTCCACCAAAACCGGTCTGGACGGCATCTCCGCAAAAGCGGTGGACGAACTGGCAGACCAGCTGGTCTCCACACCCTCAAGGCTCTCTGAAACTTCAAGTAAGGGCTGGAGCTTCGGCTAGTTACTAGAAGCAAGGCAACATAAGCCATGTATGTACATAACGGGGTGAAAGAACCTTAAGAACTAACTTCAGATCAGCTAATCTCACAAGCATATTTTGCAAACTGACGGAGAAAATAATAAAAATGGAAGTAACAAAGCATCTTGAAATAAACAACTTGCTTTGGACGCATAATGATAATGGTTTTATAGCTTGGCACCGGGGGGATATCATCAAAAACCAAAACTAATTTAATGCTCAAACACAGATAATGGTGTTATATATGAGCTGGACCCAAAAAAATAATTATTTCCTGTAGGTAAGTGAGTTGGCAAAGCTGTCGTCCCCAGCTAAGTGCTAGATACTCTTCCTGATCAGTTGGTCAGGCAGCGTTCATGGGAAACCATCGCAGCGGACAGGGTAATTGGTTTGTTAAGCCCCCTCCCGACAGTGTCGGCGACTTCGCAATGAAAAAGTTTAAGGAGAAATGCGAACACTACATTCTGTTTTGTGCTGAAGAAAACAGCAACAGAAACAGTTTCAGTGCACCAGGAAGCTTATGAGAGGAAGCTTTAAGCCAGGCAGGAATTTACGAATGGTTCACCGGTTCATAAACGATCAAATGTCACTTGAGAATGAATCCCATTCGGGCGGCCCCTCGAGTGTTCAAAAAGTGCGCAACAAAATCATGCATGATTGTCACGAAACGATCGACGGGTTGGAGGAAATAACTGAAATTTCATGAATTCATACTAAAGAATTGGACAGGCAGACTCGCTGCTAACCCAGCAGGCGCATGCGCGTTTCGCTTGTGGCTTGCTCAAATGATTGCTTAGCTTAGTACAGAATGCAGCGTCAACAATCTTATAAACGGGATTGTGCTCGAGATCACCTAGACTGGCTGTTATTAAGGTCCATCTCGTAGTCTACCGACCTTCCGTGAACCCTCCAGCCAAACTCTAGTTTCGCGTTTGAGAGAAGATGCTGGGGGAAATTTGATCGGTTGGTATGGACGTTACTTCGTAATGCGTCGCAAGGTGGACGGGTGATTCATCACCAGCAAGGGGCAGCATATAGCGACCGCATTACTTAGTATCATAATTACGAAGATGGATTGGCTACAAATGACGCAGTTGCAAGTAAGTCGGTGAAATAACATCCCTATGCATCCGCAAAATGAGGGCAATTTCTGTCCATTCGCCTAAGCTGAGTATGCGTTTTGTCGGGAAATTTTTATCAAGAAAATAACATCTTTTTATGGGCGTGAGATGGATATGAATATACCAGCAAAGAATCGATTTTGACCGTCATTGAGCTTTGAGATATTTCTGAAAAGGCGGAATTAGCCCCTATGGCAGCGCGTAGTCGCACACTAGATATGCTGCGTGAAGACTGTGCAGGAATCGGACGACAAACAAATTCAATTCGGGAGGAAGCTGCTTTACACATTTTGCTATGCATTGCCTGCTGAGAACCCAGGAACACTTTTGGTTCGCCTTGAAATAAATGTAAAACACGGATGAAGCACATGAACGCATCGTGGTCGACGTGGACTCAGGCATTGTCTATGAACTCAGTGCCACAGTTTGCCAGGGCAGACGAATCAAGGACTACAGTGACGCGAACACCGGAGCATGAATTTTATTAGTCCAAAGTTACCAATTGACACACGCACCCAGCCTCAGGGACAATCGCAGATAGGATAGTGGACGCATAGGGGGCCAGTATTTATAGGATTCAGTTGCTATGCAGCCACATACGCATCCTAATCAGCAGCAACCGCATTCATCGATGGTCGTAATTGGTGCGATTAACGCTTGATCACCCGCATTCCAGCCGTTAATCGTCGTAATTCAGTCGGCAGCACTAAGTATTTGCACGATAATGACTGACCCACCGATAGCGACACTAGAAGCAGCGTTTGCCAGCGCTCTCCGCGTGACTAATTACCCTGCCCAGACAAAATCTCTGCAGGTAATGTGGCGGGGCAAGGTCATTGTGTCTGTCAATAGACTTTGGGCCGGGGAACAATAGCTTGAGCGGTCCAAGCGATCGTCACCTACAGCGAGAATTCTGGCCTCATCTGGCTTGAAAATTTGGTTGGATTTCGCTGAATGAATAGGCGTCATTCTTCCATACTGCTGCTGCTGTATGCGCGAGTACTAGTTGAATGAATGAATCATGAAGCCATGTTGGGGATACGGCAGAACTACTTACGATACTCAAACAATCTGATTTAAGTTTGGCAAGTGAGAATATTACGCAGTTATAATGCCAAAGTTTATAATAGTCAAGTAGCCAGTCTACACAAGAACTGGGGCCGAATCTAATGGATCTGTCTTCTAAGACTTAGATTCGAGTTCAGTCAGAAATTACCGATGAAATTTGAAAGTTCGCTTAAGATCGTAAACCATTCGCAGTAGCCCGAGGAATGCTAGCAAACATCAAAATTGTTAGAAGGCAACAGTGGGCGACATGTGGGACATAGGTAGAAAAGAGGCCCGATGAAGGATGTATTGATCTTGCAGAGAGATTGAAGGATGGATACAAAAGACGGTCGATCTGAACTGGCAATCGGTAGCCGGGCCAAGGCGTTACTATTCACTATGTTGCTGTCGCTGACGGTCGGCATTGGTATACGCACATGACTTGGGGAAACCCCATCGAAGTGGCAATCGGCAGAGGAAAGACTAACAGTAATGTTTAAAAATCAGGAGCATTATGCAGAATATGAACCTGTTTGGCGGAACAAGCAGTTTACGGCTACAGGCAGTCAACGTGCCAAACGAAGACACAACACGAAGCAGAACTTTCTGGGATGGAATATTCATAGTTCGTGGGTGGTGCCCCTGGTGGCCTCGATCAAACTGGGCGGTACAGAAAAGTCCTATGATGACAAATCAACGCCTTGTCAAGCATAAGGGTCATGACCCGGGAAGCAAAGCCGTCCCTGCAGATAATTCGCACATGCATTTGCACATTTGTACTGAACTGCGACTGTGAACACGGCAAAGCGGTCCCGTTTTAGGAAAGACGCAACGCCTCATAAAACAATGTAGCCGTTGTCACGTGACAGATTACCCTTTAAACTAGCCCACACCACCGAGTGACCGCTATATGACACGCCCGTGGAATTCAGGGGTGCCCAGCCAAATAACAATCCAAAGAAAATGTCTCACGGAGACCTACGGATCAGATAATTGAGGTAACCTACTCGGGATTAAAGCAATCTTCGAGTTCGGCTTATGGAAGCATACATTTCTGCAAAAGTGATGCGTAGGAATGGGGTTGGTTATGAAGGAGGAGAGCGCGAAATGAAAGAAAAATCGGTCGTAAATGACAAGGGCTGCCCCTGGATTAAATTGAAGAAAGCAATCTTTTGACAGATGACAGGTCGAAAGTGTAAGTTTACCACTAGCGGCGTGAACAATAATTAAAACTACAAAAGTATTCTAAACAGGAATACTTGGCTCCCTGATAGCATTTAGTCGCCCAGGGTTAGACACTTGCTAGCCCATTTGACTTGCGGGCTAGAGCAGGACTAGTAACCTGACTGGCTGACAGTGCTCGATCTGTGTGAGGAAAGGAGCTTCTCTGCTACA